TATTCATTTGCATGTGGCTGTCCAGTTTTCCCAATACCATTTTTTTGAAGAGACTGTCCTTTCCCCATTGCATGTTTTGGCTCCTCTGTCATAAATTAATTGACAATATATGTGTAGGTTTATTTCTGGGCTCTCTATTCTGTTCCATTGATCTATATGTCTGTCTTTCTGCCAATACCATACTGTTTTAATTATTATAGCTTTGTAATAGACTTTGAAATCAGGGAATGTGATGCCTCCAACTTTGTTCTTTCTCCAGATTGTTTTGACTATGTGGGGCCTTTTGTAGTTCCATACAGATTTTAAGATTGTTTGTTCTATTTCTGTGAAAAATGCCATTGGAATTTTGATAGAGATTGCATTGAATCTGTATATTGCTTGGGTAGTATGGATATTTTGACAATAATAATTCTTCCAATCCGTGAGCTTGGAATATCTTTCCATTATTTGTGTCTCCATCAATTTCTTTTCTTAATGTCTTCTGGTTTTCAGTATACAAAACTTTCACTTCCTTGGTTAAATTTACTCCTAGGTATTTTACTCTCTTTTGATGTAGTTGTAAATGGGATTATTTTCTTAATTTATCTTTCTTATACTTTGTTATTAGTGTACAGAATCACAGCAGATTTTTATGTATTGATTTGGTATCTTGCAACGTTACTGAATTCGTTTATTAGTTCTAATAGTTTTTTGTTGAAGTCTTTAGAGTTTTCTATATATAATATCCTGTCATCTGCAAATAATGACAGTTTTACTTCTTTTCCAATTTGGATGCCTTTCTTTCTTTTTCTTGCCTAATCGCTCTGGCTAAGATTTCCAATAGTATGTTGAATAAAAGTGGTGAGAGTGAGCATCCTTGTCTTGCTCCTAATCTTAGAAGAAAATATGTCAGCTTTTCACTATTGAGGATGCTGTTAGCTGTGGGCTTGTTACATATGGCCTTTTTTTACGTTGAGGTACGTTCCCTCTATTCCTGCTGTGTTGAAAGTTTGTATCATAAAGGGATGTTGAATTTTGTCAAATGCCTTTTCTGCATCTATTGAGATGATCATATGATTTTTATCCTTCATTTTGTTAACAGTGATGTGTCATGTTAAGATGATTTGCATATGTGGAACCAGCCTTGCATCCCTGGAATAAATTCCACTTGATCAAGGTTTATGATGTTTTTAATAAATTGTTGAATTCAGTTTGCTAATTTTTTTTTTTCTGAGGAAGATTGGCCCTGAACTAACATCTGTTGCCAGTCCTCCTCTTTTTGCTTGAGGAAGATTCGCCCTGAGCTAACATCTGTGTCAATATTTCTCTATTTTGTATGTGGGTCACCACCACAGCATGGCTGTGACGAGTGTTGTAGGTCCACACCTAGGAACCAAACCCGGGTCACCGAAGTGGAGTGCATTAAACTTAACCACTAGGGCACAGGGCCAGTCCCCTGGTTTGCTAATATTTTGTTGATTTTTGCATCTATGTCCATCAAGGATGTTGGCCTTTAATTTTCTTCCCAGTGAGATTTATTCTGTCATATGTTTTCTTGTTCCTAATTAGCACCCTTTCTTTTCAACTTAAAGAAGTTCCTTTAACATTTCTTGTAAGGCCAGTTTAGTGGTGATCAACTCCTTTGCCTATTGCTTGTCTGGAAAATTCTTTATCTCTCCTTCAATTCTGAATAATAACTGCTGAGTAGAGTATTCTTGGTTGGAAGTTCTTTTCTTTCATCACTTTGAAAATATTGTGCCACTTCCTTCTGGCCTGTGAAGTTTCTGCTGAAAAATCTGTTGATAGTCTTACAAGGGTTATACATAACACTTTATTTTTCTCTAGCTGCTTTTAAGATTCTCCCCTTGTCTTCAACCTTTCCATTTTAATTAGAATGTGTCTTGATGTAAAGTGTTTGGGTTCCTCTTATTTGGAATTCCCTGGGCTTCCTGGATCTGAATGTCTGTTTCCTTCCCCAGGGTGGGAAAATTTCCAGCCATTATTTCTTCAAATAATATTTCTGCTCCTTTCTCTCTCTCCTCCTTCAGGGAGCCTTCTAATGTGAATGTTAGTCTGTTTGATGTTGTCCCATAAGTCCCTTAAGCTATCTTCACTTTTTTCATTGTTTTTCTTTTTTTTTTTTTTAGGACGATTAGCCCTGAGCTAACTGCTGCCAATCCTCCTCTTTTTGCTGAGGAAGACTGGCCCTGAGCTAACATCCATGCCCATCTTCCTCTATTTTATATGTGAGATGCCTACCACAGCATGGCTTGCCAAGCAGTGCCATGTCTGCACCCGGGATCCAAACTGGTGAACCCCTGGCCGTTGAAACGGAACGTGCAAACTTAGCTGCCATGCCACCAGGCCGGCCCCTCATTCTTTTTCTGTTAGTTGCTCTGATTGGGTGAGTTCTACTGCCTTGTCTTTGAGTTCACTGATCCTTTCTTCTGCTTCATCTAGTCTGCTGTTGAACCCCTCTAGTGTATTTTTCAGTCCAGCTGTTGTTTTCTTGAGCTCTGTGACTTCTATTTGGTGCTTTCTTATATTTTCCATTTCTTTGTTGAAGTTCTCACTGTGTTCATCCATCCTTCTCCCCCTTCATCCATTCTAAAGTGAGCATCTTTATGACCATTACTTTGAACTCTTTATCAGGTAAATTACTTACTCCATTTCATTAGGGGTTTTCTTTCTGAGGTTTTATCTTGTTCTTTCATTTGGCACATATTCCTTGTTTCTTCATTTTGCTTGATTCTATGTTGGTTTCTATGCAGTGCATGAAACAACCACCTCTCCTAGTCTTGAAGGAGTGGCCTTGTGTAGATGAAACTTTTTGTTCAACCCTGCTCTAGCTCTTGGCTGTCTCTCAAATCTTTGTGCTTGTCCCAGCAGCCTATTTTTAGGCTCCAAGTAGTTAAGTAGGGGCCAAGACCTGTCAGTGTGCCAAAGGGGAGGATCTCAGCACCTAGATTCAGGCTGATTGGAAGCCAGACCCTCAGGCAGCAGTTTTTAAAGTATTCAAACATAGACAGTCCTGTGGGACTGCAAGTATAAGCCCTGTTGGTCACCAGAGCCAGGCGATCTGGAGGTGTCCCTGGGTCGCAGTGACAAAAATCAGGTCTCCAGATGAGTGTATACGCTTTTTTTCTGGGAGATACTGGCAAGCTGGAGCAAGGTATAGGGAGAGCACCAAGATGGTGTTAATAGCCTCTGTTCCCTGAGGGCAGCTCCACAGGCCACTGGATGTCTGCCAGGCCTGAAGCCTGCCCCTCAGGCTGAAGCTCCAGGATGAGCAAAGAGCCACCTTCACAGAAAGGCTGGGAGTGGTAGCCTGCCAAGAACCATCTCTCTGATTGCTACAGCCCTGTGGGACCCAGGAATGCAAGCCCCCCTTGTCTCCAGAGCCAGGCAATCAGGGGGCATCTCCTGGGCAGCAGCTGCAAAAAACAGGGCACCAGACATATGTGAAGCTCCCCTCCAGGGAACACTGGCACTCTGGACCATGGCAGAAGGAGAGCCATCCAAGGTCTCTGGAAATTATTACAGTCAGTCCCTAGATGTGTGTTTAATTAGAAGCCTGCCCCTCAGGTTGCAGCAGCTGTGATAATTAGCAAATAGGCCTCCTTCAAGGAAAAACTGAGCTCCTGGGTCTGTTGCCTCTTGCTGTGCCCTTGGGGTAGCAGCTGTTTAAGAACTCCTTCTCCATTGGTGACAGTCCTATGGGACCCACAAGCATAAGCCACTGGCCACCAGAGCCAGGCGATGTGGAGGTGTCCCCTAGCAACAGCCACAAAGATCAGGACACCAGACAGGAGGATAACCTCCCTTCCAGGTGACTATAATTGTTATAGTCCCATGGGATCAGGAACGCAAGCTCCCCTGGCCTCCAGAGCCAGGTAGTCAAGAGGCCCCCCTGAGTGGCAACCACAAAAATTGGGGCAACAGATGGATATAAATCTCCCTTCCAGGAGAGACTGGTGCTCCAGAGCACAGCAAAGAGAGAATGCAAAGATGGCACCTGCTAGTCTCCATCCATGGAGAATGTTCCAGCAGGCTCCTAGATGTATGTATTAAATTAGATGCCTGCCCCTCAGGCTGATGCCTTCATATAAGCAGGTGAGCCTCCTTCACTTCAAGATGGCATGACCGGCTGCCTCTGAGCTGGGCCCTGGGGCGAGTGAGTCCGAGAGCACAAACCCTTTAAGAGCTATTTCTCAGGTCACTATGATCTTGTGGGTCTAGGGATGTGAGCCTTGTTGGTTTTTGAAATTTGATGTCTTGGGGCCTCATCTCTCAGGAGAAGGTCTTCAAAGTTGGGGTACCCAATATAGAGTTCGAACCATTCACTCCTCATAGAGAATCTCCTGGTTTTGAGTTCCCTCCCAGTTGTGGGTCACTGCATCAAGTGTGGGGTTTATGGTAAGATTGTGTTCCAGCCTCTCCTTCCTGTTTCAGTGTAGTTTACATCTCTTGTGCCTGATGTATAGTTGTCACTCAGCCAGCCTTTAGTTTTTTTAATGAGGAAATGGTCCCATATGTAGCTGTAGACTCAGTGTGCCAGTGGGGGGAGGTGAGTGTAGGATCTTCCTACGTTGCCGTCTTGAGCTGTTCTCAGTCTGCCTTTTTAAAAATCAGCTCTTTGAGAGCAGAGACCATGTCTCAGTCATCTGTGCCTGTTCACCGCCCAGCTGAGTCTTAGACAACACGTGTAGGCGGAGCTTAACCAAGTTTGCAGTGCCTGTTGAATCCATAGGTGAAGCTATGGGCAATTGGCAAAGAAAGAAAGAAAAGAAAGGAGAGAAGCTGAAGATAGGACTTCAAACAGAAAGAGAGAGGAAAGGTGAAAATAATTGCTTCATCCTTAAGATGAAATTTACCATTTTCCTTAATAAAACTAAAACAATGACTCTAAACCACTAATCTGAAAAACTTATTTGAAATAGCCATGAATGGTCCCATCTAGCAGATGGAATCAAATTGAGAATCAACTGTAAGTGTGATTCTCTCTGTTCTGTTTTCTCCAGGGAAGAATGATCATCTACAGGCCAAGACACAGCGACCAGAATAGTCACCTCTGCAGTGCTCATTCCCCAAAGCCTTCTATCTCCATCTTCTTCAGGAGCCATGAGTCTGTCTCATTGTTGCAGGCAGGCAGGTCAGTCTGCAGGACGAGGAAAATGGTCACATTTGATCACAAAATAAACTAATGGAGGAGTTTTACGAAAGTAATAAGATTTTCTTACGTTTTGCTTGGTTTTTCTTTTTGCAGAGTTGTCTCTATGAGAAAATAGCAAAACAGAGAGCCTTCAGACTATTATGAGCTTTACAAAAATTTCTTTGGGTTCTTTGTAAATGGTGGCTTATGACCCAAAAGGCCCACATTCAAACCATAATCAGAAATAATATGGAAATTACAGTAATCTATCTCTGGTGATCTAATCTCTCACCAGGCCTGCATCACAGACACACCTTGCATTTTGTTGTGTGTTAAATCTATGTGAAAAAAGTCAGTCCCCCAAATTAGTCCTGCCAGGTGTTTCTAAAAAATAGTTTCCACATGACAGCTGCTTTTGTCAATATCCTGCTAAAGAATGAAACATTTTTTTAAAAGTTTGTAGAGCCCTGACTTTGTCTAGAGTCTCCTTCAGTTTTCCTGTCTCCACTGATATCATTGTAAACGTTTGCTTTCTCCAAATGGCTAATGTGTTCTCTATAACTCTACTCGCGACGCATCTTGGCGGGTTGCTGTGGAAATATTAAATCATCCCACATGTGTATGTGTTTGCCTCTCCAGGTATATTTTGGGATTTACTTGAGAACTGTGATTGTGGCTCTTTGTCCTCCTCCCCTTCCTCCTCTCTTTCCCGTTCTCTTTTCCCTGGAAACACCTCGGTAGTGTTCAGTAAGCAAATCCTCAATCATTCTTGACTGATTGATTTCCCAAATAAAAAGTAAAGACTACAATTTCTTGACTAGTATGTGCCATGCATAGAATGACGTGCTCTACAAGTGTTTTTCCATTAGTCCTCACAGCAGCCCTAGGATTATTATCCCTACTTTCCAGCTGTGGAAACTGAGGCTTAGCAAGAGAAGGAGGCTTTCCGAAAGTCACAGCTAATGAGTGGCAGAGCTGGGGAGCCGACTTGGGCTGACTGACTCTAGAGCCCGTGACTGCGGGTAATCACACTCATTTTCCATCCTTTTAACTAGCAACATCTCAGGAGTCATTGCTTTGTGGGTTAAAAAGGAAAGTGTGTTCTTTGAGCTAGTGAATCTGACATCTCTGACAGGAGACACTGGGTAGGATGCTTGTTGTAAAGTCCACTGAATTCTTTCCCTGATCTTCATTTTTAGAAGGTTCTTGTTTCCATCCACTTTAGAACAGTTCATCTGCCTATTTGTTGCAGCCAGGCTGGTTGGTCTATGCACCTACTTATTAACTAGTCCACCATTCTGTACCTAATTGCTGCTCAAAGTGTGGTCCTTAGAGCAAGAGAATCAGCATCACCTGGGATGTTAGAAATGCAGAATGGCAGGTTCCCCCTGACTTACTGAGTCAGAATCTATATTTTAACAATATCCCTAGGAGAGTTGTGTGCACGTGAAAGTTCGGAAGCATTGCCCTACTTGTCAGTTGCCACATAAAGTGGACCTTCTGTCTCCTGTGACTATTGGTAAAGATGTCAAGATGGGTCAACAGACCCTGACTGAAGTGAATCAGAGCAATGTCACCACATGGATCCAGGGCATAGTGGTGACTCTCTCCCATGAACACATAATCATTGCCCCAAGGTGGTCCAGTCTCCTGTCTCAACATCAGTATTTCAAGTTAGTTGAAAATTCTCTGGATAAAGAGTCATGCCTTAGGATTAAAGTATAAAACCTTGTCTAAGGATAGTTTTATAATTCGTTGTGCTTTCTCGAGCATGTCCCTAATACCCATCTTTATGGTATCCAGAGTTCAGCTGCTAAATTCATGTGACATTTTAATCTAGCCTAATGTCAAAACATAATAACTTTGTGAAAGGAGAGGTGAGTTTAAGATTGCAGCCCTTTTTAAGATCTGCATTAAGAAATGTTTATACCACCCGTCTCCAGCATGTGCCAAACTGCGTCGTTGCTGCGGGCACTAGAATAGAATGACCCATTCTTTCTCTCTCTAACCTGTTCAGAGCTCACAGCCTAAGCAAGCTTTGCACTTGAACTGGTTTGAAGGCAATGTTACTTTGTAAAATAGGACCAGTGATTATTCTGCAAGGACTTAACGTGTTTTGCGTCACAATTTAGACCCTGCTTCTTTTCAAAGGATACATTTAAATTTATTGTATTTCTCCATGCTTATTTTCAAGTATTTATCAAGTGGTGTGGCAGGTACAAAACAACTCAGACACGAAAAATCGCTCTCAAGGAAAGTATATTCTGACTCAAGGGGCAAGATTGTACACAGGAAGAAATAGGAAAGAGTACAAATTAATCTGTACAATTTATCTGAAAGGCCATGTGTTCAGAGAAACCAGAGAGTATGGCCACGGTCTGGGAAGGTCTCATAGGAGAAGAGAGATTTGAAGACTGGACAGGCAAAGAGTGAAGAAGAAATCATTCCAGAGAGAAGATAATCTGAGCAAAGGGATTAGGACTAATGAGCAGGGAACCATGTTCACTACATCCCTGCTATATATTGACCAATCCATCCAGGGCTATTGTGTGTTTCTCTAGCCAAAACACGAGATTAAAAGACGCATTTATGGGGCCAGCCCACTGGCACAGCAGTTAAGTTCACACGTTCCACTTCTGCTGCCCAGGGTTCACCAGTGCGGACATGGAACCACTTGGCAAGCCATGCTGTGGTAGGGGTCCCACATATAAAGTGGAGGAAGACGGGCATGGATGTTAGCTCAGGGCCAGTCTTCTTCAGCAAAAAAAAGAGGAGGATTGGCAGCAGACGTTAGCTCAGTGCTAATCTTCCTCAAAAAGAAAAGACACATTTAGTTACCACATTCTCTAGAGCTTAAATAATAATTTATCATTACATAATTATATATAACTGTGCAAGTGTATACCATATATAATTACATAATATGTTTATTAATATTATAATTCATAATTAGTGATATACTACTTAATATATTAGTAATATAATTAATAATATTGGTGTATTGATTAATATTAGTATACAATTATATAATTATATGTAAGTATATAATTATATGATAGGGTTACATATATAATAATTTACAATTAGCATTTTTGAGGCCTCTCCATATCCCACAGCTGAGAGCTTTACATTTAATACTCACAGCAACCTTATGGTTGCTCCATTTTATTGATAATGAAACAGACAGTTTAGGAATTTGAGTAAAGTCCCGTGGTGAGTAGCCATGCTTGTACATGAATACAAAATTTGAATGCTAAACCCACATTCTTAATACTAAGCCATACCGTCCAGATGCTCTACATGCTATAGAACCTTGAATGTTGAATACTCAGGCACAGTACAACATTAGGATATTAGGATGGGACAAAATAATCCCTTTAGCACTTTCCATTCTATACGGGAAGAGAGAGTATGGTGTATAGAGCTGAAACTATTGGAGCACAATCGTGTCGCAATAACCTCTTTCTTAAGTCCTGAAAGTACATTAAAAAGGCATGAGGGTGAAGTTATTTGGGTAAGACTTCTTAGAACTGACCATTTTGAAGAATCTACTATCCTAGGCCAAAGTAATGGGCCAATTAGATTATTTCTTTGACTGTGTGGCTGTGTAGTTTCCAAACATCCCTTCCGAAGATGACCCAAAATGCAAGACCTCCACTGAGAAAGCCTGGGGTCATTTGGGAAATAGCATCCATCAAATTTTCGATAGGATTTTCTAAGTGTGTGTTTGAATACCTTTCATGCACTTCTTTTTGGAGCTCTTGGGAGGCAGTTTATCAAAAATTATTAAAAGAATGGATAAAGAGTCACGCTTTCAACCCTGGGTTTGAGAACTGGCCCTGCCACAGTGGTCATGAGACTTGGTTGTTCACTTAAATGCTCGGCCAGTGTACTCACAGTGTGCCCTGGCCAACAGCATCAGCACCACCTGTGAGAACTTGTTAGAAATGCAGAATCTCAGGCCCCACCCCAAATAGGCATCTCTAGGGGCAGGGACCGGGAATCTATGTTTTAACACGCTTGCCAGGTTTAAGAAACACTGTGCCAGGCCTCACTTGCCTCACGTATGAAAAGGAGATGCTCTAGTAATAGGAGCCCCTTCGCAGTGCCATTGGGAAGATTAAGTGAGATGATGTACATAAAGCGCCTAAGGCAGTGTCTAAAATAAGAGTGCTTAATAATTATTCTTTTCCATGACTTTATTTTATTTTTTTATTTTTGGTTAAGAAAAGGTAAGAAACCAGAACACTAAGCAGCTAACTCTGTCTGCCTTAGGGTTCAGCAGAAATTGATTCTCACCTTTAGTGATGAAGACTTATCTGACATCTACCTTATGTTACTAAGCAAACCTGAATTGTATAAACAGGTTTCTGCTGTGGTCTTTCTCAGGCTCCTGTTTGAAAACCAAGGAGGTCTGTGGCTGAGTGTTTTACGGCCAGTCCAGAGGTGCCATGGAACAGCTCTGATGGATGTGTGTGTCAGACTGCAACACCCCCGACCGGAGCAGTTAAACTGAACAGTTTAGAAAACCACCTCCAGGTTTCACATTTGGGAACACAAACACTTGCAAAGTGTAATGCTTCTTCCCAGGGAGACCACGGCACTGCTTCAGCTCCCTGTGAAGCGCCCATATATCTCAGGGGCTGAACAGAGTCCTGGTCAGGCCTGGCTTGATCTCTTGTGGCTGGTTTTTGGCTAAACTATCTGAATCCATTCTAACTTCTCTGCAGTTTTTGTTTAGCATTTCTTTATATGAGTTTGGGAATCTATCTTCCTTATAGACTTCTTGCTTCTCACCTGTTCTTTCCCTCTCGGACAAAGGTCAGCAAACTTTTCTGACAAGGGCCAGATAGTAAATATTTCAGGCATTGTAGGCCTTAGGGTCTCTGTCGCAACTACTCGACTCTGCCGCTGTAACTCAAAAGCGGCCATTGACAATACGTAACCGAATGACCACTGCTGTGTCCCAATAAAACTTTATTTACAAGAACAAGTGGCAG